AAGTAGTTAGTAAGTAGACACTGTGTACTTGATGATTTAAAGTTTTATTAATTATTAATTATCATTTTATTTCTAGCCGAATCAGGCAAAAAGAAAAAGAAAAATAAGAGTCAAGTTGAAGAAACTGAAGCTATTGGTATGATAAATTACTTAATTATTTACCCTACTCGTTTTCTATTAAATTTTATTATTAATTTTTTTTTTTTTTTTTACAATAGAAAATTCTCCCAAGAAAAAAAAGAAATCCGTTGTTGCAGATATTTCAGTAGATGAAGTAGTTAGTAAGTAGTACTCGAGTAAAAATTTGTTTAATTCGGCTTTTTATATTGTTATTAATGTATCGATTTTTTTATAGCTGAATCGGGTAAGAAGAAAAAGAAAAAGAAGAAAGATCAATCTATTTAATTTTTTATTACTGAATATAATTTTATCGCTTCCAACAATTATTACAATGATTCATCATGTTCAATTTTTAAGATATTATATTGTTATGAATATATACTTAACAAAATTGATACACAATTTAAATATGTGTAGTTATTTTTTTTTTACTGAGAACTTGAATATATTTACACTCAATTTTATATTAAAGTGCTAATGCGTGCTATTTACAAATGAAAATTATTTTAGCATTACTGTTGTATTTGTATATGGGGTTACTGTATAATTTACCAGGTGATCAATCTGATCATAGACGTGTGCAGAGTTACTGATCTGGTGCAGCACATATTTCTATTTTATTGATGTCTGTTGATAACTTTTATTTTTAGGAACATTTTCAGTAAATGTTTAACCAATAGGTATGTTGTATATTTATCAACACCAAAAATAAATATCTATTTTATGTGGTTCTAATTTTAAATATAGAGTATATACCTGCATTATCGTATCACAAACACGTAAAAAACTAAAAAACTAAAAAAAAATTGGCATTACAGAAAGAGCAGATGCAGCCTAAGCTATTTACTATACCCATACCTATGAATCCGAGTGTACTCATTATTGTGAGACGTCATAAATGTATTAAATCTTTTTACATAATTTGATGTCAATACACAGTTACATGTTCATTTTATTTATCGACAAAATAAATTTTTAGTTTAATTTCCTTAGACAAAATATACTTGGGAGTACTTTGATACTTAATTTTATATTATAAATATAAATTTTAACATTTCATCAGAGAAGTTAATGCATTATGAGGATTTAAGTTTCTGATAAGTGGAGTAGTAATTTTAGTGAAGTAACCTGGTGGTATTTCTGATTCCAACATCTTTTCCATTGATCATAATATTTATGCAATAAATAAATATATGTGTCATATAATTTAGAATTATATAAAATGTGTTGTCATGTTATATTTTATTTGAAAATTAATAAATATAATAGAGTTAACTCCCCTCCATTGAATTATTTACATGTATGACAAAATGCTTATAAACACTCATTTAAATGAGGATCTAGTATTTTTTTTTTTTAACAAGTCTATGGTAACAACTGACAATTGGTGAATGAGAATCACATGTATAATTACTACATTTAATGGTTATTACTATCAAAAATTTATTTAAAATTATATCTAATCAATGAACGATATGTCTAAAAAACATATTGCCATTTTATGGTATATTTCGTGTTTATTATTACTATGAATATTGAATAAAACAACCGAGTATGTGAATCCCCGCCCCCAAAGATATTTAAATATAATATCAAACCCTTCTCCCTAAAAATAATATCCTCGTTACATGACTGAGTAGGTAAGTAATTTATTTTTTTATTATAATTAATGCTTATTGTATAAACTATTAATAGGGCATAGGCAATAGCCTAAAATTGATTTGAATATTTTTTAAATGTCAATGAGTGTATAAAATATGAAAAAGTTTCAAATCACCATGAAAATTATTAATTTATATATACATATGTTAATAATTAAATATTACAACATAAAATAATAAATATTAACGCTATGCTTTTAATAAAACTTAGCGACAGCGGACAAGTTCTATAATAGATTGCTAATAATTAATGACTAACATTAAAATGAATTAGGTACCTACTAGTATTTAAATAGCAATATAAAAAAACATAATATCATAAAATGTAGGCACCTATACTTAGTGATATAGGCTAATAGTCCGTCTCCACTCGGAATCGTTTATCGTAATTCGTAAACAATAATGGCTGCATCCTAGTTGGGCTCTGAATTAAAAATTGCTATACTAGTTGGATCCACGATTTTTATAGGTACTACACTAGTTGGGTCCGTGATTTTTATAGGTACTATACTAGTTGGGTCCTTAATTTTTTTTTTTTTTTATATTAGTGAGTACTACATAATATCATTTTCCTTCCCATTTTAACAGACTTAGGACTGTCTATGATCTATTTAAACCAAAGGTATGGTTAAAAATGTTTTTTAGTTTATTTTATTTATATTTTTTGCCATTAAAAATATAAATTATTAGATTTTTTTTTTAATGGTAAATGGCAATTAAATACAGGTACTAAACAAAGAAATAATATTAAAAATACCAAAAAAGTAATAGCTAAAAATATATTGATTATAATCAATGTAAATAACAATTTTTTTTTTTCGTTTGGATTGTATATTTACTTTAAATAATCCCGGATCCAACTAGTGTAGTATGTACCTAAAAAATTAAATCCCGGACCCAACTAGTGTAGTACCTACGATTTAACCCTAGTACTCTGGAGACTCTGGAGACACACTAGTTGCCTCCCGAAGTCAAAAAGGTCAATCATTTTTATACGAATTGCCTCCCAACTATACCTATACGAGTTGCCTCCCGACGTACCCCAGACAGCAAATGTTTGTCTAAAAATACTATTATAACATTATTCTACATATTATTATACCTAAGACTGATGTTTTTAACTGCACTATATATTTTTAATAAGTAGTATAATATGTTTTATTTTTATTGATTATTTTTATATTATTATTGTTTTTAACCAACTCTGATATTTTTAATAATGAATAAACATTATCTATTTATGTGGAATTGTTTAGTGAAGTTTATGAACCACTACTTAATTCTATATGGGAGGCAACTCGTATATAATTATGAACTATCTGGTCATCGGAGGCAACTAGTGTAAATTAACCTTTTTATTTACGATAAGGATGGGAGGCAATTCGTATATTTTGAGAGGCAACTATATAGTATGCGCCGAGTACTCTGGACCCAACTCGGATGTACAGACAATAATGTATCATATTGTATCGTTAAATTAAATTTGTATCATATCATTAAATCATTTACAGTGATGTTCCACTCGAAACCTGCATGTACCTACAGCAGAATGGTATCCACTTTTTATTTATATTTTTCCTCGTTATTTTGTAAAAAATATATATTTTGACCTTTCAAAAATATGATATTAGATTCAATTTGCTATTAGTAACTATCATTAAAGTTATGAAGATCGAAACACTTTTTTCTACTATAAATATGGTATATACCTACAAATGAAAAATAATCATATCATTGTAAAATTTATAATGCTTTCAGCCCCCACTCAAAAAATGTATTACAATGTTCCGAATACTTTAAAGGTGCACACCTATAAAAGACAGTTATTCACAATAGTACCTATTGAATTAAAATATAAAACCTTTGTATAACTTTCTATAAGACATTATAATTCTCATTGGAATTTTAAGCGTTAAGCCCGAGTTACTTTAATATCTTACGATTCTGGTAGTCTAGTACTGCAGTTCTCAATCTTTTTGAGGCCGCGACCCCCAGTAATGTCACCTAGATTTTGAACGACCCTTTTAATTTTTTTCATGATAACATTAAAAAATAGCGATAAATTAATATGATTATTATTGCATTCAAATTAAAATAATAATAATAACTTGATAAATTCTTGGAACTAACATTTGAAATAATAATAATTAATAAGTTTATTTAAAATACATTATTTTTAAATAGTGATAAACATTATACCCATCTCCTATCTGTGTACCTACATATCAGTAGGTACATGGAAATATTTTTTATATATTTGCAACTCTCAGTTGGAGAATTGCTGGTCTGGTGACTAGTACACTGTTTTACTATTATTTAATGAAATTAATATTCTTTAGATGTACCCATAAGGCATAAGTACCTACCTGGCTACCTATATTAATAAACCATAACATTAGGTATTCATAATATGGAAAATAACAAGGTCTTCTCCCTGTCATGTATATGTATACCTAGCCTGATTTCGACAGTTAGGTGGTAAAGTAGGCAGTATACTAAATATTTTTATTGAATGTGAAATTAAAGACAAAATAGTCATGTCAAAACTAATTTGTTCACTGAGTTTTAGCTTCATTATGCTTCGACAATACATGGAATAACTTAGTACTTACCCTATTAAGTCGTGCCAAATGTCTTTTGTAATTTTGGAGTCAATACAATAATACATTTTCAGAAGTTTATAAACTCCAACTCAAATATTTAAGTGTTCCCATGACTTCTGTTCCTTCTGAACGGATATTTTCAAAGACTTATCAGTTGACAAATCACTACTGAAATAATATACTTCACAGTTCACCCTGATAATTTAGATCACATTATTTTTTTAAATATAGGTAGTAATTCAATTGTAATAGATTAACTTTTTAGTATTATTTAACATTGTACCTTGTAATTATACTAAGTCAGTAAGTTATTGTCTAATCGTCATACAATTTAGCTTAATCTTATTTTTATTTTAAAATATGATATTGTGTTAAATAATTGTATTTTATAGCTTATCTATTTTAGACTTCAGTTAAAAATTATAATAAAATTATTTATTTATTGTTACAAATTTTAAGTTAAATTATACATATAAATAATTAATACACATAATTATATAACTTTAGACATGACATACGTCAATCATCCAAGTATTTGCTTATCCGGACCACCCTTGAGATTAATTAATCCGGATAATTGGAGTTCTACTGTATCAATAAATAAAAATCAAGCCCGTCTTATTATACTTATTTATTTTTTGAAAATTTACACATTATTTACAATTTTGTTTTATTACTACACTTAAAAACTATGATTCTGCTATATGTTGTTTACATATATCTTCAAATGGTAAACGTGTTATGATTTTACCAATAGCTGGTCCACTTTTGAGCTTGATATCAACACAAAAATTATCTGAATCTATTTTAATTATTTCCGCTTCTCGTCCAACATGCATACCATTCACTACTATTACTCTGCCACCAACATTTGGTATAACAGTTTCAACATGATTTTGATCCAATTTCAATTTCACTTTTGGATCAAATAATTTTACCATGCAACCATATTTGTCGATTACTTTAAGAACGATTCCTTTTTTTCCTAAATATTCTAGACCTAAAGTTTTAGTGGTTACTTTTACAACAATATTTTCTAAAAGCCAATAATCTTTTCTCATATAATTCTTCTTTTTAGTCTCTTGTTGGATTATTTCTTCAAGAGCAGATATTTTTCGTTTCTCAGATTTACGACTGCTTGATTTAGATATCATAGACATGCGATCAGAACCAGCTGTACTTAAAACATTTTTGATTGGGGCAACAGTTGGTTTTTTGAAAGTATCAATTTTTAAATTCAAAGACAATTTTTCATCTTCTTCCCGAATAAGTTGTTTGGTATTGTCATCTTCAGTTTGTTTCTCGGTAGATTCTTTTTTTTGGCCTTCTCGAATTTGACGTTGCAAAAAGTCCATTTCACGTTCTTTGTCATCTTTTTCTGCTTTTTCTTTTCTTCTCATTTTTTCTTCAAGTTCGATTGTTGCTGGATCACGGTCAATGTACGTTATAAACCATCCTTCATCTGTCTCATCAACCACACATTTACCTAAAAATAAATGTAAAATACAATTAATGTAAGTAAATAATATGCTTATATTTTGAATAAAAAAAAAATTAAATAAAGGTATTGATTATTTTATATATTTTATAAGGAATAATTTTTATTTTGAATAGATTCACTCATTTGATCTAAAATATTTGACATTAAAACATGATTTATTTAAGTTTTTAGAAAGATAAGTTTGACTAAAATAGTCATTAGCTAATTTAAATAGGTAGGTATTATGGGTGAACTAAATTTAATAATAATAACTTAAATTCATACAAACAATGATTAATCAAAATAATTTAAAATAATATCCATATAAGATGTGTAGGTATCTAAATAGGTACTATTTAATTTTTTAACATATCAATTAAGTACCTGTTTTCCCAAGCCATTTGACAAATCCGGTTAGAGTTGTCCACTGAGTGGCATTCATGTGCAGATGGTTTCGATCTGAAATGTATTCCTGGTATACTTTGTTCGCTTTTACTCTTTTAGTACCAAATTGTCGTTTCAAAAGGAATAAAAATCCCTTGGAGAATTCATAACTAAATTCACTTAGGTAACGTCCGGCGTTGTCTGCAAATAATAACAGTTGCCGTTGATGTGATTCAGACATTGTATGACATTTGAAGCCATTTTCGTCCCGACACTGTTTGTTGCACATCTGACAAAACCATCTTAGTTTTTGTAATCCTTTAGACTTGATCTTGTTAGCTATATATTTTGGTGTTCCTGGTTCTGCTCGACCTTTACCCATTGTTAGTTCACAATAGTTATTACCACGTCCGATAGGAAACTACTAATTAAAGTACTATAATAATTATTAAAACAGTTAAAACTATAATATTTTTATATTTTCAGTTTTGCCACTGTTTGATCAGTAAACTCGTAGTATTAGAACTTGGAAGTTATAGTATCAACATCAACATTTTTATCATATTATTGATAAGTAAAACAATACCGTGAGTAGTTGATAACCATGGACATAATATTATTTTTAATTTTATGGCAGTAACAAAAGATAAGTGTTCTAATCGTAGACCTATATAATATTCTAGTATAAGGTCTATGGTTCTAATACTATACCAACATTTCCCGCATAAATTTAAACACAATTATTTTAGAATAAAATAATTTTATTATAGTAAGAAAGATATCGAAAAATGCATTATTAATAACTCTTGAATTTTATTTTTGTTTATCCAGACTTTTTTTCTAGTATCTAAACTAAATATTTCTGCTCTAGTAGTTTATGTAAAACATAAAGAAATGTACCTACCTATTGGCTTATGTATTAATATTATGTGCTTATTTACTAAAATTTATAAATATTAGTAAAAAATGAAGTTGAGGAGTCTAAAGTCTAAATATTATTTATAATTTAGCTTCAAAATATTCAAAAATATTCATTTAAATAATAAGTCATATCAAAAGAACTTGAAAGAAAGAATTTGAGAGTTATTCAATATTTTAACGTGGGCCACATCTAACGCAGTTAAACATTTTGCAGTATATTTATCAAACGATTTCCAATAAAGTAACCTTAGTGATTTGATTTTTCGGAAATATTAAATTTACCATTTACCAAACAAGTAGGTACCATTTATATCCTATTTCTATACATATTTTATTTAATTAATAGTAAAAATTTGATTAATTCTTTTTAAAACTAATTTTTATGAATAAGTATGAAAATATAAAGTTATACCTAAACATATTTTCAAAGTTTGAAGTACTGTGATGATTTGTTTAACTGTATAGGTATACAAATAATTGGCGATAAAATGGTTCTTTTTCTTTGTAACATTGCTGTTTTGACTTTGACTTTAATGTTATATATTATTGCATACATATCACTTGGCATACTTTTATGTTTGTCATTACACATTACATAATACAATAAGAAAATACTCATGAAATTATGAATACCATAATAAAAGATATCGATATAATAAATACAATAACATAATTTATTCATGTTTAAACATCTAAGTATAATTAATTAATATTCAGTCATCAGTAATAAACTAATAAATTCAAAACAAATTGTGTAATACATAACAATTAACTGAATTAACAGCATAAATATTAAATAGGTACACAATACATATAATATTATAATAATAATATTATTATTGACGATATTTATACTATATAGGACTTTATAGTGACGTCATTATTTCTTGGCATAAATGGCGAATTTTATTGTATTCCATGGATATTCGAAAATGGTTTATCTTTTTTAATCGTTCTCACTTCTCGTTACTACAAGGCAGCCTGGCGCCTGACCCAGTGCCCCTGCAATCTGCATTCTGCATCTGCAGTTGTTGGCGTCTGTCATAGTGACATTGCGAATTGTTATTTGTGATTAGCTGACTATTAACCGCTGCTAACGACATAAGCGCATAACTCTGTCACTGTAATGAGTCGACGAAATATGTCCACAAAGCATGTCGCATGACGTATTGACTTTGTTAATTCGTCTAGTTGTTAAGCATCAACCAAAAGACTCGGCATCCATTTTTAACTTCTAGTCTTAAAATAGTTTATTCTACGTATTTCGAAACCCAGCCACGACAACAGAACATATTTTGATAATATTATCTAGGTCTCTGGTTTTACGTGAACTCGTCGTAGTGTCGTGTTTAGCTCCATATATATTTTTATAACTCAATTTATGTGTAACAAGACGGTACCAATACGTAGTTATCTACGTAATGAACATGGGAACACGACAGGGTCTGGTGTTTGAAGTGAACCACTTATCATCTCGGTTCGCCATGGAAAGTGGAAACCCGGGTCTTACGATAAATCGAAACGTAACGTCGTAACGGAATCCTAGACCGTCAATGAGATCGATCGGTTTCACCCTACCCCCATTGTTAATCGCTATGGATATGGAGCCATTTTTAGTTCTGACCAGCGGGTACGAACCCGCATCGCAAACCACGTTACGGAATTCGAGAAAACGGGACGGCGGCAGTGCAGTTTTGAGTGCATTGAAATGCCGTTGCAGCCGCACGCCCGACGTTACCATTCTGTCGCGGTGTGCTGCCACTGTCTATCTGACAGACAGTAAATAACCCGCGGGCCATAATCGCCGCACGACTCAACGCTCTTAACAGTTAACTGTACACGGTCGACAGTCGGTGCCGTGTGTGCGCGCCCCCGTCGGAACCGCTGATCGTGCGTGCGCGAGATGACGGGAGGCGCGGCGCGCGCCGGCGCGGAGTGTGCGCGTGTGCGTACGCGCGTCCGTGTGTGAGGTGCGCGCGCGGCGTGTCCGTCCGACCGCACTACGACTACCTACCTACAATACTATACGTACACACACAGTGCTCGCCGCCAACCTATACAGTGTTATTATATGCTTATATCGGTCTGCCCACCGGTTATCGCGTATTACCCGCCGCGCGCAGACGGGTCGACTTTACGCGATCGCCGTCGCACCGAGTAAAGTTTTGCCGGTCGCGGACGGGCCACCGTGTGTGACATTAGAATGACCGGTTCGTCACCACCCGCCACCACCGCAACCGCCGCAGTAACGTCGCCGTCCCGCCGCCGTTCGCAGTCGCCGTGTCCGCCGTTCTTTGCCGCCGTACAGATGACGCGCACCGTAGCGTAAAAGCCGCCGCCTCGTCGGTTGCCCGACATCCGTCGTCGTCGTTCTCGTCGCCGTCGCAGTAATATATAAATGGCATCGTTGCCGCAACCCAAGTTTGAACCCAAAGCCCCGGACAAAAGCTCGTCGGCGGACGCGTGCGACGTTCACAAGAAAATCCTAGAATCCGCCGACTGTTCGAACGTGAGTAACAACAATACCGTTTTCGTACCATTTCACCATTAGTTTGTCTGTGTACTCTGAGTCCTCGGCACCAGCGGTTTTCCGCACGTTCCGTTCTACTCTCACGTCATCGCCATAACCCGTGCCCCCCGAGTCCCAATAATTGCATTGCACACAGCAGGGCGCGCACCTCTTGAGATGTTTTTCGTTTCCTCCCAGATAGTAATATTAATTCTGTACGAATAATATATAATATTATATTATTGTTATTATTATTATTATTATTATTATTTGTATTATGCACACATTGTAACAATTATATTATTATCCGTACGACTCGTGTACTGGTCGGTTTGCGTTTACTTGACTGTTTTTATTTTTGTGTTTTTTTTTCTCTATCTTCTTATTTATCGAATGTTCAAAAATAGGTATCTACCTATAACATTTCCAGAATTCTTACCTAACCTATTCCGGATTTTTGCGTCTGATGACGACCATGATAATGACGGCGACGACGACGACAGCGATGATAATAATAATGATAATAATAATAATAATAATAATAATAATAATAATGATAATAATAACGCATTTTACTGCAAAGCCTCAACACCACCCGACTTCTATACTTTAGTTTTATGTTTATATATATATATGCACGTATTTATATATATGAAATAATGAGTAATCAATTTTCTATATCAAAAACACTGCAGTGTGTGCGTCGGTGCGTTTATGCGTGTTAGTGCGCGAATGTACAGTGGTGATTGGCGAGGTATGTCCGTCGTGTGTTCTCCGGTACGTTTATGTATTGCCTTTGATTTTTTTCTATATTTTTATTGCCCTTTAAATCGAGAGCAATATCTCCGTATAGTACCTTTGTGTGGACACACTAATTATGTTACTCAACAGTTCTATACCTTATAGTATATTATATTAATATATACAGGTGTATAAATAATATTAAACATGTTTAATGCCCTTTTTTAAAATCATAAGGTCATGCATTTCTTATCTATGTATCTATCCATCCACGTTTAATATTAATAATGCCTTAGAATAATTTAATTTATTTGTTTATGTGTGTTACCTATATATTTATGTATTTTAGTTTTTTTTTAATTTTTTTATAGAACAACAAGTCCAAATCATTATCCTTGGATTTATCCAATTTGAACACTGCTAGTTTTAAGTCTTTATTAGAAGAAGTGGTCGCATATGATACAGCCAAACAGACTAAAAGTGAATTATATAATGTATGTATTATTTCAGATATCAATTTTAGTAATCTATTGTTTCAATATCATTAGCTTTTTGTTAATACTCTTGATGCATGTGTATCAAACCAAATTCGTTTTTATTTATATATTTGGGATAAATGATTTTTTTTTTTATTATTGCTTTTTAAATTGTGTATTAAAACCATGATAAATTAATTAAAACATTTACTAATAATTAGTTGAATACTTTTAAATTAAAAAATTAGAAACATTTCCATTTAAAAACATTCAATAGTTATAAATAAATTATAAGAAATAAAAAATACTTTCAATAAATAATTGTCAAAAACAAATTATTTACCATTTTGTTTTATAATCCAAGGCAATAACTGATTGCTCTCATACTTACCTAAATACTTCTATTTGTAACTTCAAATTATATTTTCTTATTTCATAGGTTCATGTTTTAAAATATTAAATGAAAGTATACTTAAGTATTTATGCATAGCTTGTATTAGTGCAATCACTATACAAAAGAGATAGTTGATTTATTTGTTAAAATTTAAAAATTATAAATCTATGAATAGGTACCTAAAAAAAATTAATAATAAAACTTTGAATGTTTTTTAGAAAAAAAAATCATGAAAAATAAGTTTAAATATATAAAAAAAAATTTCTAATCAATCATTTGCATATTTAAAATTAATAAGTTATGGATTAATGAGTATTTATATGGCCAGACACTGTTTATAATAGTATGTTTTTTTATTAAAATTATTATTTACTATTAATTACTTAATAATTAATTTTCTATAATTAGATATCTTATTTCTAAATTTTATAGGTATTTGTATATGTAGTTTATATTATTCTTTTATAATGTAAAAAAATTTTTTGAAATCGTATCTGGT